CACTATGCTACCAGAGCTCCTAAGTAAAGATTACAGCCTTGGAAATCCTATGAGGAGGCTCTTCTCCATCCTATATGGTCACTATGTGTTGGAGTTGACTCAAACTCAATGGCAGTGGGCTTAGTTTTTGGTTTCAGTGGGTGGCGTAAATGGTTAAGTGCTCAACTGTTAAGTGAAAGGTTGGTAGTTCTAACACATCCAGTGCCTCTGCGGGAGAAAGACTTGGCAACGTGTAAAGATTACAGCTTAGGAAACCCTACGGAGAAGTTCTACTCTGTTACATGGAGTCCCCATGAGTCAGAATCAACTCTACTCCACTGGCACCCAACATCCAAGGGATTTGGCATCGAGAACCACTGAGCTGCATGATTCATCCCCATCACCCCCTCCCCTAGTAAAACAAATAAAGTAGTTTTCACTGCCATCTACCAACAGGCCCTCTTAACTGGGAGCATTTTCATAAGCAGTCATAATTTGTAAATACAGGGAAGCCCCATGATCCTCATATTTGCCACACAGGTCCCTGAAAGTGACAAGGCTGTATCAGGTATAAGAGAGCATTAATGGACTGACCACTGGAAGTCCCCATTCAAACTATTCCCCACTTAACACTAGTGTCTATGCCTGCCCATCTCCTTTGTTGGTCAGACTCAAGCTCACCATTTGCTCTGAAGTGCTGGTTCCCATGAAACACACTGTACATAGGAACCTGGAATAATGAAAACAAAACAAAACAGTTGCCAATGAGTCAAGTCAGATTTGTGACGACAGCATGTGTGTCAAAGGAGAACTGTGCTCCACACTGTTGTCGGTGACTGCTTCTTCGAAGAGTAGACTGCCTTTCTTCCCAGGTGCCTGTAGGTGGGCTTGAACTTCCAACCTTTTGGTTAATAGCCAAGTATGTTAACTCTTGCACAAGAGGTAAAGAGGTTGTCATTATCAGTCATTGTACCTGCCTCTTCCCACTGAATGATGAGCTTCATGAGAAAGGGACTTTGTCATATTAATATTTGTATTCTCAGCACTTTGACAACCCTGCACAATGACTAGAAGTAGAGGGGAACTAGTCAATACATTTTTGTTGACCTGAAGAATTTGGTCATTGCCAAGTGAAGAGTCCTTACTTCCCTAGCCATCTGTCATATTGTAGGTCAAACCTCATTATCACATGTACATGGATGAAAAAAAATTATTTCACTATGACAGAAAGGTTATCCTTTTCCTGTGACTCTGGTGTGGACTTTACAAGAGCTGTTCCTTCTGCCTAAAATGTTGTTCCCTAGCTTTGGAGCCTGGTAGCATAGTGCCTAAGGCACTTGACTGCTCACCAGAAGGCTGGCGGTTCAAACCCACCAGCCACTCCTCGGAAGGAAGGTTGGGCAATCCTACTTCCGTAGTGATACTGCCTCGGAAACCCAATGAGGGGTCGCTACGAGTCGGGGCCAACTCGACGGCAAAACAACAACAACAACAACAAAAAAGCTTTGGAGCCTAGTAAACTCCTGCTCATCTATCCATTGTGACCAGGCTCAATGGGACTTCTTAAGGGAGCTTCCCTCCACTCTCCCAGGAAGTTTCTAAACTCCAGTCATTTGAGGACTATCATGACAGTAAGTCCAAAAGAAAAAACAAAACAAAACAAGTTATTTTCTCAGTGTTCATTAAATTAAGAAGGGATAGGTGGTAACTAACACCAGCAGGTGGTAACGGACATCACCAGTCAATTATGGTGATTAGCTATCTGAGGTGCCCTCAGGTTTGATGGGACAGAATGGGAATGAGATCCTTCTGCTGGGCTGAGGAAGACCCACCCACTGCCATCAAGTCAATGCCGACTCACAGAGACCCATTAGGACAGAGGAGAATTTCTCTACGGGGTTTCCAAGGCTGTAAATCCTTACGGAAAGACTGCCTCATCGGTCTCCTGCAGAGTGGCTGGGGGGTTTGAACCGCTGACCTTTTGGTTTGCAGCCCAATGCGTTAACAACTGTCCCGCCAGAGTCCTTCGAGGCACATTCCTGGATGAGAAAGCCTGAATACAGGATAAAGGGAAGCTCTGAAGTCAACCTGTGAGGCAAGGCCAAGTCAGGAGAGAGCTGGAGATCACTGCCCAATCGCAAGGAGTGGACACTGAAGACACAGGAGGCAGCCAGGGACGACAGGATCAAAGGGGCAGCAAGATATGCACGACAAGGGTGGAGACCTAGCAACTGCAGTAACTGCCCTGTGGATGCTTATTTGTACCAATATTTTTTGTCGCCTCCACAACTCCTCCCATGCACTCCTCTTGAGGAAACTTTCAAACCAGAAAAAAAAAAAAATTCACTGCCTTCAACTTGGTCCCGACCCATAGCGACCCCTCCTTGGGTTTCTGAGGCAATATCTCTACCGAAGTAGATTGCTCAGTCCTCCTTCCAAGGAGTGGCTGGTGGATTTGAACCACCAGCCTTCTGGTTAGCAGTCAAATGCCTTAGGCACTATGCCACCAGAGCAGATACTGACAATTCTTTTCTCCTTTGCCACACAGGAATAGTGAGAAAATACCCAGCCAACCAGTAAGTACTCATTTCATTATTTCCTTTCGCATACTCTGTCAGAAGAATACATCACATTGTTTCTCCCAGCATTGTGGGTTTCCCAGCGAAAGGAAAGCAGATTAGGAATGCATCCTAAAATGTTGTTGCTAGCTGCCTTCGAATCAATTCTGACTCATGGTGACCCCTGAGTAAAACTGCTCCATAGGGTTTTGAAGGCATCATCACAGCAAAAATTGACTTTTTTTTTAAAAAAAGACTCTGAATATTGTAAAGTCTCCTTTTGCCAGTATCTTTACACTGTAGAGCTTACATTCACAATGAGAAGGTGTGCCTAGACATAAAAAACATTTTACCATCCACGGGGAACTGGATAAGGAACTCTGGTGGTACAGTGGTTAAAGCACTGGGCTGCTAATCAAAAGGTTGGCAGTTTGACTCCACCAGCTGCTCCGTGGGACAAAGATGAGGCAGCATGCTTCTATAAAGATTTACAGCCTTGGAAAGCCTACGAGGCACTTATACTATGCCCTATGGGGTCACTATGAGTTGGAATCAAGTCAATGGCAGTGGGTTTGGCTTAGTTTTCGTGTGGGGGACTGGGGGATTATGTCTTGAATTCTAAAGGCCACAAGCAGTCTAAGTGATGGTTACGGGTGCTCTTGCCAAGCCTTAAGGAGCAGGTCTACCAGCTGCCTCTCTGTTGTACTGCGGTAGCTTGTGTGTTGTTATGGTGCTGGAAGCTATGCCACCGGCCACTCATGGTGGACAGGTTCAGACTAAGACTGAGTAGAAGAAAGGCCTAATGACCACCTTCAGAAAATCAGCCAATGAAAACCTCATTGATCACAAGAGAATGCATCCAGTATGCTGCTGGAAGATGGGCTCCCCAGGTTAGAGAACACCCTGCATACACAGTGGGTGCAACAACGGACTTGAGCATAGCAACACCAGTGATAATGGCACGGGGCCAGGTATGAGTCGTCCTGAGTCAGAGTCAACTAGGCAGCCTTTAACAACAACAAAGGCCAAGACAGCGGGAAGCAGAAAAGGGGGAGGGATGGAAGGTGTAAAGGAGGAGGAAGGGAAAACACAGAGGAGCCAGTGGTGGGGAACAGGGAGCCATTGCTTTAGAGGCCTCCCAGATTTCTGGAGTAGAGGAGCTGGGCTGGGGGAGGGCAATGAACTGTGGACTAGGACTCACAGAGCTGCCGTTGACAAGCTCTCAGACCACAGCAGAGCTTGGGTGGTGGCTGGGTGCCTGGGTAACGTTCCCCTCCTTCCTCCTCATTTCCCCTATGGCGAGGTGTCACAACCACAACTGAGGACTAGAGAATGACACAGGAAGCAGAAATGTAAGTAGCACCTCTCTACCGGAGGTGACTCAGGCCTCCCTGTCCCAAACCCGGTGCTGGGAGCCTACACTCTCTTCTCCTCCAGGTAGCTTCAGCCACTCCTTTCCATGGTTGCCCCACCAGTTTCAAAGACTGTCCAATCACATACATCTTTACTGTTCAAACTTTCAGTCACAGATTACTCAGCGCTGAGTCTCAAAAACAGTCCTCTGTGAACTCATAACTCATAAAGCCAACCACAAAGACCTATCACCCTCTTCCATGCTCGGCCAAAGTCCAAGGTACAGTATGGGCCCAAGGTTGCCAGTATGGGCCAGAGCCATCAGCATGATCAGTCTGTGTGGGGGAGCCAAGACAGGGAAGGGTGGTGTGTGTGTGTGTGTGTGTGTGTGTGTAGGGGAGCCAGGTTGGCATCTGCATCACTGTTATGGTTCTCTGCAATAGAGGGCAATCACCGTGATTCTCTGAATTTAGTTTCAATCTAAATTTACTTTAATTATGATTACTGTACTGCTACAAAACAAATGAGGACGTTGGCAATTCAGTGGTAGAATTCTTGCCTTCTATGGGAGAGACCTGAGTTCAGTTCCCAGCCAA